ACTAATCTTCCTTCATGAACCCCCTCTTCCAAGCGCATACCCATGTTTACCATCTCAATGAATTCACTGGGTACACTTGCTACCATTTTCTCATAAAAGAATGGACCGAGAGTCTTTAGAAAAATTTTGGTCATCTCTTTTTCTTCTAATGGCGGTATGACTTGAGCAGCTAACTCGCGCCAACGCTGAGCATATTCCTTGAAATTCTCTTTGTCTTTCTAAGCCATGGCTCTCAACTGATCACGGTCAGGAGCCATGTCCACATTATACTTGTATTGTTTGATGAAGGCTCCACCTAGATCGTTAAAAGTTCGAATCTTTGCACTATCCAATCCCATATACCACTTGAGTGCAGCGCCTGTTAAACTATCTTGGAAATAGTGAATGAGCAGTTGATCATTGTCAGTTTGTACAGACATCTTCCTGGGATACATAATAAGATGACTCTGAGGGCAAGTATTCCCTTTGTACTTCTCAAAATCGGGGACCTTGAATTTTGACGGAACCTTGACATTCGGGACCAAGCACAGGTCAGAAGCACTCTTTCCAAACAGATCTTTCCCACGAAGGGCTCTCAATTCTTTTTGCATCTTAGAAAATTGTCCTTGAAATCTATCCATCCTTTCTTCCAAACCCACAGTTTTGCTGGGTATCCTATGGAGAATTGGTTCTTCTAGGATATGTGGAGTGATATTCACACGCGGAGGTGCACTAGTCATTACAGTAGTAGTTGCAGGAATAGCTTGAACGGTGGTCACGGTAGGGACCTCGGGAACAGGTGAGCGATAACCGACCGGAGTGAAATAAGGAGGCATCCCCCACGGGAAACCTGGCGGCATGCTGTAGGTTACTTCAGCAAAAGTAGAGACCACTGGGATCGGTGCTGATACTACTTCGGAGATAACGGTCCCTTGAACTTCTTGACTGTTGAGTGCAGACTGGTTAGACAGAGCTTCAACTAAACCATTCAACCTTTCCAAATTTTCTTTCAGGGTTGCAACCTCGTCACGGAGCACTCTGTTTTCTTGTTCCAATTGATCCATCTTTTGACGTTGACTAGCTCGAGTGTTGTATTGGTGATTCAGCTTGTCTGTGAAGATGAAGCAAGAATGAGACCCCCCGAAATGCAAAGGATGCTATGCTGATGCAAAATGTGAAATGCAAAAATGCAAAATGAAATGTTTCATGGAACTCAAGTATTTATAAACGTCACGGAGTATTCAAAGAAAATTCATTTTTTATTGGATTACAAGTGAATATTCTCATAAGAGTCCTATCATACTAACTAAATAAAGCTAGAAAAAGTCCTAAGGAAGTCCTTCATCGCGCTTGTTGATTTGTTCCTCCATTTGGACCTTCTTGAATATGAGTCGTCCATAATCGTCTTCTAAGGAGTAACGTGGTAGAGGAAAATAAATCCTCTATCCCTTGTTGGAAAATACAGAAGGAAACCCTTGTTTGCTTGGACCTTCAACATTGATGAAAGTCTTTCATTTGATCCTCAATAATAAAGGGAAACCCCTTGTATTTGGAGTATTCTTGATTCTTCAATCTGAGCTTCTACTTCCTTAGGACATCCAAGTTAGAACTCTTAAAAGAATATTTCAAAACATTTTCTTTTGTAATCCTTATTGATTTCTATGATGTTTATAAATAAACTAGGAGTCCCATAAAACCAATGCAACATGATGCTATATGGATGCCAGAAACACAAGTAAGCACATAAGGACACACAAAGATAAACAAACAAAGGTCCTAGGTTTGCAACGAGCATGGAGCCAAGGGTATACCCATTCCCAAAGGACAAGGACTAGAGGTGGATGATACCTGCGGAACAAGGTTCTAAGGAGGTTCCAAAGTCATTAATCCATCTATCGGATATTATCAATTTCCCAACTAACTCGAGGATTAATAATATTCTCAAGAGAACTTCTTTTGAGTGTAGCATCGCGTAGCACTATTTCGGGATTTACTCCTTCATAGCCTCGCACTACGTCCTAATAAAGGCCAAAGTGGGGTTAAAGGTAACTACGGTCCTTAGTATCATGGACTCCAATTGAAAATAGTAAAGTCTTCACGACTAAACTCGTTCAACCGAACTATTTTCAAAAGGGTCTCAACTAAGCGGGATCCTCGAGTCAACTTAGTCGGGACTCACTCCCTATAAGCCTCATCGAATATATCACCATCCTATCATAATTTCTCTCAAGTCCGGGTGTAGGAATTTGTCTCACAACTCAAGGATAACAACCCAAAAGAAATAAAGAACAAATAAGCAAGTAAGCAGGTAAGCAAATAAAAATAATAATAAAGAAATAAAACAAGATAGGGAGACTCTCCTGAAGATCCCCAGTGAAGTCGCCACTTCTGTCGCGGTGAAAATCGGATACCAAACTATTGATTAGTTTGAATCTTTAATTCAATTTGCAACCGAACTTTGATTTGTCCAAAGGAAGGGATAAAGATCGAAATTCCCACGATGCAATGCAAATGCAAGGTTTAAAGAGTTATAGGTTCGGGGGTTGGTTAAACTTAGGGAAGGTGCTAGCATCCTAAATTTCTGTAGTATTTTACAGGAACCTCTTGTTTTATGTTTGTTTATTGCTATGTTTATCTGCTTAATGGTTGAAAGACCTAGGGGTTTATTTCTAAGTATACTCGATAAGATGTCGCATCTTATACCTACATATCCTTACGGGAGTGGAATCAGAGTACTTGTAGTTCCCCTAAAGGATTTGAGGAGTTCTTTGACTGGTGGTCAAAGTTCCTATGGGTTTAGGGTAGTTGATTGATTGATTTTAGGAGAAAAGACGAGTTATCATTTTAAGGGAGATTTAACCGCCACAAATTGTAGGAAAATAGTCTTTGCATCGTCTTAAGAGAAGGGCTCGAGTACTCGGATATAGACCGACGAGGTACGCCTCTATCTCTCTTAAGGCAAAGTCCCTACGGTATTGATTGTATTGATGTGGGGTGGAGATTCTATCTCGCTTAAGATGATTAACATCTATTTCTCTATTGTATTTGAATATTTGTTGTTATGAGTTGTGTGTTTGTATCTAAGTTGTAAAAGAGGTCCTTCCTATGGGATAGGATCTAACTTAGGAAGACCAACTTGAATGGGGTCAGGATCATGGGGAGTATGATGCAAATGATGTGCACTACACACGATTCTTGAATCATGTGTAGGTTTTTCCTTTGGACGGATGCGATGTGATAAAGTAAATTGCAGGAAGATAAATTGCAGTAATGATAAATTACGGAAAATAAAACCATACACACGCATGAAAGCGCTAAGGTGTAGGTGAGTGAATTGTGAATGTTTAAGGTGCACGAATGAATTGGATGTGATGTTGATTTAAGCTGTAGGATTGAGGGGAGTATGATTAATTTTAGACGATGTTGAATTTGTTTATTAGTTTTAGATGAAAGTTTTAAGTGATAAGTCAATTCCAAAAGGTGACCTTAAATAAAGGGTTTCTTAGAATATCTAAGAAGTTTATTTTATCTTATGAAGAAAAGAAAAGGTTTATTATTTTTTTTATGAAAGTTGTTATTATTATGGATAAATGACTACAAATTGTTTAAATTATGAAACGGTTTTTCCTATTATAAGAATATGAACAAATTAATATATACATATATATATATATATATATATATATATATATATATATATATATATATATATATATATATATATATATATATATATATATATATATATATATATATATATATATATATATATATATATATATATATATATATATATATATATATATATATATATATATATATATATATATATATATATATATATATATATATATATATATATATATATATATATATCATTGTTTAATAAAAGTTATTTAGTGATGAGAATGAATTATTAATAAAGTTAAAAACATTAATAAGTTAATTAAATAGAAATAAACATGGTTAATTAAAAAAGATTAATTAATAAAAAAAGAGTTGATTAAACAAAAAAAAGTGATTAATCCATTAAAAATGGATGATTAAGAAAATGATTAACTAATGGTTACTTAATTAGATTAAATATTGATAGTAAAAAATGGATGGTTATTATATTAATTAATTAGATTAAAAAAATTAGGTTGATTAAGTTAGATTAATGGAAGATTAGTGATGATTGGTGGTGATTAGTGGTGTGTGTGGTGATTATGCACAGGATTACAATAATAACAAAATTGAACAAAACAAACAAAAAAAAACCTAATCCCTAATCTGTTCCTCTTCTCTCCACCCGCGATCTCTCTCGATCGTCACTCCCTCACCTCTCAATCTTCTTCGACTTCAACGTTCCTTCCTTCGCTTGTCCCTTCACGATCCTCTTCCAAACCTGAAACACAAACAACACGTCAAAAGCTTCAGTAAGTTTGACGCAAATAAATAGATTACCGCGAGTCCTGAACGGCGGAGGTCCGAGATTGTAAGGCAAATGGTAGCGATGAGTGAAGTTGACGGTTTGTTGGACAGCGATGATGATGGGGGTGTGACGTTGCGATGGTTTTGAGGAAGCTCCGAGATCAAAAGATGAGTTTTTTATTTTTTATGGTTTAGCAATTTAGGGTTCGATTTTGGGGATTTTGTGGTTGTTTTTGTGTATGATTGAGTCTTTGCGTGTATGTACGGTGTATCCTCTCTGAAAACCTTCTTCCATCTTTTATAGGTTGTTTTTGAAATGCTTAAATAAATGCGATGAAATGCTATTGATTCTCTGTGCCTGATTTGCTTGCAACTTTTAATCGACTTCCAAATTTGTATGATTGTGTCTGATAGTGTTTTCGAATGTTTCAACTTCTAAATCTGATTGTTTTCTTTTTGGCAGGTTTTGGAGTGGATATTATTTCCATTATTGAGCCTGATTTATTGCAGATCAGAACGGGAAAGAGTTGAACCTCTGTCTTCATGTTTTGAACGGTTTTGGAAACCAGATTTTGTCAATTTTAAAAAAGTTCTTAAGTCTGAAATTGATGGCTCTAATGCTTGCTCTTCATTGTTTACAGGGTTCAGTAAGTAGATTTGCCTTCTTTTACTTGCAACGGTGGCCTTCGTTTATTCAAATCAAATGTCTGCGGAACGCTGCTTTGGTGAGGATATTGTTTCCTACGTGTTTTCTGCGTGACTGCTTTTAATTTCCTTCAATTGTTTGACAGTGTCTGTAACCCCTAATGAAAGCTCAAGTCTTCTCTCTAAGACAATAGTTGCATTTCCTCTTAGTTAATCCACATATCATTCCATTTTGAGATGTGTTGAAACTAATTTCTTTTCTGCGTAATGATTCTGGTTTGAACTTCTATGCAGGAAGATCGATGCCGGCAAAATCAAACCGATGTTATGGCTTCAGACTTGCACTGTATCCTTACGTGCAACAGCTCTGATCCTTAGAGGCAGAAGGTATTTATTAGGTAATGCCAATCTCCTCTCTTACGAACTAATATGAGTGATCACCGACTGCCGCTAACTTTTGTCTTTGCTTTGTCAGGTAGAAACGTGAAGTTGATTTGGTAAGCGAAATGAAGACTTATTGCCGAACTTCCAAGGGCAAGGTTGCTTTGGCAGGTTGTTAGGAGTGGAGCATCACGAATAACTTGCCTTGCCGTTTAGAAAGGGATAGCAGCTGTTGAACCGTGTGACCTGTTGGGTTACGTCTGGGACATGTTGTAGGTATGTTAAAACCTTCTTCTTTGGGTTGTGTTTGGAATCAAATTGGAAACTTGATATCGATTTAATTCCCTCTTATCATCTTTATTCTGTATATGCTCGATAATACAGTGGTTGTTGGTGCAAGAATCTAAACTCTTCTTGGCCAGCTTGGATCCTCGGGGTGAGGTGCACATCATCGCATGGAAGTTCACTTCTTCGCCCGAATTCCATTGCCTTGTACCTTAGTCAATCCGTAAGGCATTCGAAGTCCTGCTTTCCTGTTGACAACATGAAACGATCTACTTTGGTGAACATAGTATCGTTGATTGCGTCTAACACATACGTTCCAACAGGGTCCCTAAGGCTCGACAATTCAATCTAGTTCCAAAGTTGCCAAAGGATGAGGACATGATCAGGTATTCTATAACATTTCAATTGTTGCATTTTATTTAAGATTTGTGTCATCTGAACCCTGATTGTATCGTCAATTGGTGTCTTTGATGGTAGATCTGTTTGTGGTGGCCATGACAACAGGTTGTAGGGTCGTCTGCTTAGTGAAAAGAGACTCGAGGTCACAAATGTATTAACTATTTTTCCTGCTTATTGCGGTTCCAAGGCCATTGCTCATGGGCGAAGGAATGTGGTAGCGGCAACATATGGAAAAGGCGGGTTAATCAACAGACAACTTGTGTAAGGTTTTTTTGGCATTCTATCAGATAAACATTTACTTTGAGATCATGTTTAATTTGTTGGCAAACGCGGTTGAATGCGGTGATAATACCTGTTGGATGGTTTATGATTGGTTAATGGTCTGTTCAGTTTAATAACACTGCCTTATGATTGCAGGATGCTGGAGTTTCATTCACTGAGCATGAGTTCGCAAAAGGCATCCCAGTCCATCTAGCATCAAGCCCTTTGGAATACAGTCTAGAGTCATGAGTGTAACCTGTTCCAAACCTACCTATATCAGCAGAATAATTATCAAGATTGAATTTTGCAGTAACTGTTGCCATAGGTGAATGATCCATTGCAGCTTCCACATCAGGAACTTGACAACCATCTCTTTGTATAGTATATTTTCCAGGTGAGTTCACCAGGCTGCCCAAGGTGGCTAGTGTTTTCTAAATCAAGTTTCCAATAGGTTTTGTTTTCAGAAGAGAGAAAAAAAAGAACTGCCATGGCCTCTCATTTTCCTCCTATTGATTCTTGTTTTTGTGTTATGCAGGTAGTGCAGATATGCTCGAGTCGTGTCGGCGGAAGCTGAACTACTAGGAAAGAACCTCTGTGCTATGACTTATAGACACTGTTTTCACTGACGGCATATCACGTGAGAGTCTCATTCCACGTCCGAAAACCTGATGCCGATGTCGGCTTCCTCTCGGTAAATGTTAGATTTTCTTTTCAAAGTGAGGACTTATGCTTTGTGCTCTGAACTGGTCCCGTATGGTTTAGTTTGCAGGCTGTTGAAAGTAGCCTAACCGGTGCAGCGGTTACAAATGCTAAATTCTGCGGGAGCTCCCCGGCAGTTGGTTTGTTACCGTCGACGATATCAGTCATAACCTCTACAAATATTGTAGGAATTCTCAGCAGGTCAACATAAGCCGCAACTGCTGCCATAAACATCTTCATATTGCCATGTGTTCTGCAGGGTGCTTGGCACGGAGAACTAATGGTCGAGCATGATCCCGTTGTTTTCTGTTGTATTTCTCCATGTCTTCTCGGAGATAAATCAGCTTCACTGAAAAGAAATGTTTGCTTTTTTACTAACTCGATTTCCCCTTTTGATTTGCAGTAACGGGTGGGCGGTATCGAGAGCAATGAAATTCCCACTGTGTAGCGACGGTGCGGACGGACTTGCAGCAGGACATGGATTACTAAAAAGACTTGAGTTTACCGCAATCGCAGTTGCCGCCAAAATGCATTAGTGTTCTTTTTATGGGAGTATCTTGTACCGTTACCTGTAGCTGTAACATTTGAAATTGTCTTGTAAACCAGATCAAACAACTTTGAACTTTATATGTTATTAAATCACTGATTTGGATATTGTATCTGCAATTAATTATTTGTAAACATGCGGTTGGCATTTACAGTGAGCTGTGTTACAGTCTCAAAAATGGATACTTGCTTGTCTCCCAGCCTTGACTTGTAAATTTCCAAAACACACATTCTAAACCAAAGTTGTGTGCATGTTTGTTGTACTAAATGAATGCTCTTTCCATATGATTTCAAAATTTGTTTTTTGATGCAAACCAAGTGAGCTCAAAACATTAAGGATCAAACTTTAATGCCATAGGGATTCCATAACATATCTTGGATGACTTCTTTGATGCTTATGAACCATAAGCCTCGTATTAAAACTTGAAATAGAAAACCTCTTAAAAGTTCAAAGGCACAACCCCTCTTGAATGTAGATATGAAACCTTAATGCAAATTAAATCGCCTAGTCTTGATTCCCAATCTTCATCCTAAATCATCGTTTCGAACCACGTAATCCAAATTTCTTCCACTTGACAAATAAATGACCCCAAACTCCAAGATTAAACTAAACCTTTTGAACTTCTATGAAAAATAATGATACAACTTGATGCAAATTGCCATGAAAACCGCAATCAAAACGCGAGCGACCATTCTCCAAACCAAAAGAGAGCCTTAAACCTCCTCAAAATACAAAGGCTTTTGACACGCTCTTGGTAACATGATTACTGGAAAGCTTTAGGATCCTTGAATCAAAACACATTTTAAAGTAAGTTATACCTGCACCAGTTGGTTAGTCATAATAACATGCACATAAGAAGTATAGAGATAACACGTAAGAGAGAGAGAAAAAAAACGCAAGGAGGTGGAATCTTAAAGTCAAAAATTAGGGTGTGACAGAGTTGTTCATCACCAGCAGAGACTTGTTCATCTCCAGTAAAATTTGTAACTCCAGATTTGTTAGTATGCCCCTCAGGCCTCAGCAGAGTTGGGATCGTATCTTCCAAAGTTGTTCAGAGTTTTTCTCCTCAGCACGGAGCTATAGTACTCAGACACCAGTTTACGTCGAGCACTCAGGCTCCGGTCAGTACGTTGAGTATTCAGACTCCGGTATCGTGGAAAGGTTCTCTCTGCCCATATGGTATCCATACCATGGCAGGTTGTGATCGACCCGTAGAAACTAGTGGTATGTTTTCTCTGTAGCCCGATAAGTATCCAGGCCCTGGCTCTCGTTGTTCCCCGGCGGCATCGTCGAATTTCATTTGTTTATGGTATTTGTGATGTGTTCCTTCATCCGTTGAGCGTCCAGGCTCCGGCTTTTCCGTTGAGTGTCCAGGCTCCGGTGTTTTTCCAAACTCGTGATGTGTTTACTTGAGTCGTTAAGTGTTCAGACTCCGGTAAAATCAAGTGAAGGTCTAGACCCTTATTAGTGTTCGTGGCTATTCCGTCGAGCGTCCAGGCTCCGATTTGTTGCTTCATTGAGTATCCAGGCTCCGGTTTATCGCTTCGTTGAGTGTTCAAACTCCGGTGTGTTTTCGTCGAGTATGTAGGCTCTAGTTTATCGTTTCGTTGAGTGTTCAGACTCCGGTGTGTTTTCGTTAAGTATCCCGGATCCGGTTTATCGCTTCGTCGAGTGTTCAGACTCCGGTGTGTTTTCGTCGAGTATCCAGGCTCCAGTTTATCGCTTCGTTGAGTGTTCAGACTCCAGTGTGTTTTCGTTGAGTATCCAGGCTCCGGTTTATCGCTTCGTTGAGTTTCCAGGCTCCGGTGTGTTTTCGTTGAGTATCCAGGCTCCGGTTTCTCGCTTCGTTGAGTGTTCAGACTCCGGTGTGTTTTCGTTGAGTATCCAGGCTCTAGTTTATCGCTTCGTTGAGTTTCCAGGCTCCGGTGTGTTGTCGTCGAGTATCCAGGCTCCGGTTTATCGCTTCATTGAGTATCTAGGCTCTGGCGCGTTTTCGTCCGTCGAGTATCTAGGCTCCGGTTTATCGCTTCGTCGAGTGTTCAGACTCCGGTGCGTTTTTGTCTGTCGAGTATCCAGGCTCCAGTTTATCGCTTCGTTGAGTTTCCAGGATCCGGTGTGTCTTCGTCGAGTTTCCAAGCTCCGGTTTATCGCTTCGTTGAGTTTCCAGGCTCCGGTGTGTTTTCGTCGAGTATCTAGGCTCCGGTTTATCGCTTCGTTGAGTGTTCAGACTCCGGTGTATTTTCGTTGAGTATCCAGGCTCCGGTTTATCGCTTCGTTGAGTGTTTAGACTACGGTGTGTTTTTGTTGAGTATCCAGGCTCCGGTTTATCGCTTCGCTGAGTTTCCAGGCTCCGATGTGTTTTCGTTGAGTATCAAGGCTCCGGTTTGTGGCGTTGAGTGTTCAGACTCCGATGTGTTACGTTGAGCATTCAGGCCCCGACTCTGCCGTTGAATACCCAGATTCCGGTGAAATTTTCAATTTATAACGTTTTGCTTTTTCCGTTGAGTGTTCGAACTCCGATAAAGGCTGTTGGATATACGGATCCTAGTAAGTGTTGGTACTCTCTCTCCGTTGAATGTCCAGATTCCGGTGGACATTCGGTTTGTGATATATTTCTTTGTCCGTCGAGTATCTAGCCTCCGGTAAATCCCCAGTGAAGTCACCAGTCACGTCGAGCGTCCAGGCTCCGGTCATTACGTCGAGCACCCAGGCTTCGGTCAGTGCGTTGAGTATCCAGATTCCAACGATTCGAAAGATTGTTCTTTGGCCCATGTGGTGTTCATACCATGGCGAGTTATGCGTTTCC